AATGATTTCCTAATGTTTACTTTAACTTACCAATACCTTCATACTTTTTTTTTTTTTGCAAAATAATTTATAATGCCTCACAAACTGGTAGCTTATGGCAATGGCAATACAACAAGTTTACTTTAATACTGCAATTCAGCTATTAAATTGTTACATTCATTAATCACATCAAAAAATTACACAACTATTTAGTTTAAAATTTCCCTTTGAAAGTTTAACAAATTAATGATTTTGGAGCTTAAAATGCCTTAAATTGCATTCAGTTCCTAAGGGAGGCACTTTGTTATTGACAAATAATTAAAAAAATAATAAATTATGAAATTGATCTTATTAACCAGAGAGAGTTCTCTAAAGGACACATTTTAATCATTGCATGCTAACCAACTACCATTAGCAAAACTGACTTACAAGGCTGACATTTACCATGGTTTCATTGGTCTTTCGACATTCTTTAATGTGTCAAATGTATTCTTCTACAAAGATTAGTAATACAAATAAAAGAATGAACAATACCACCAGGAGAGAAAAAAAAAAAAAAAAAAAAGTTGTGTTCCTTACCACATATTTTGCCAAAATGCTAATCTTTGTCAGCATGCTCACATAACACTACCAGAAAACAAAAAACCTTTAAGCTACAAGCATTCTTTGCATTCATAAAACATATACTTTGGTCAAACAGAAGGAGCAACTTTAAGAATATAAGAATGCTGCTCCTTCATTCAAAACACCAATTCATACATTAAGTCAGAAACCTTATGGTATACAGTATTTAACACAAAAGCGTAAATCCCTACTGGAGCTATAAGCTTCAGTAGGTATAATGGTTTCACAGCTCTGGCACACTTTTTTAACAAATTTCTACAACTTCACTTCCTAATCATGCATATAAATTTTCAACAACTGAAAACATTTTGTAAAGAAAAAGAAATCCCCTACAAAAATGAGGACTGACTTCAAACTTTTTTGGGCTTTCCAGCTTTGAATATTTTTCTATACCCAAAACAATACCAATCTCAGCTACCAAAGCAAAAGCATCATATGTTAAACATCCCAACTTCTCTGAATTTTCAGTTGTATACCAAACATATAGTGCTGCCACTGTATAAAGACTGATCCTTAATTTTACAAGGAAGAAATGGGTCAAGTCGCACCCATAAAGAGAGATATATGGAGAGAAAACACCTAATAGAAAGACTGTACTTTCACTTTAAAAAAAACTTAAAAGCAGAGTTGTCAAACCTAACTTTTAAAGCACAAAACAAACTTAAATGCATAAGCATGATGCACATTTGCCATTGTTTAAAAAAAAAAAAAAAAAAAAAAAAAAAAAAAAAAAAAAAAAGGTAAATGCATTAGACTGGTTTATTAACAACACTGGTGAAAGTATGTATGACTGGTATGAATATACAGACAATTACATAAATGGACACATGGCACCACCTGAATATTTCATTTAGGGAAAGTGTCACTTGCCAAGAGCTTTATCAAGCTTAATGGAGATGATGAACAAAACATAGCCTACATTAAATATTCATTGTCAATGTGTCCTTTTACTTCATAAAAAAAAAAAAAAAAAAAAAAAGACTGCAGCATTTATACAAATTCAATCACACAAGTGAATATAATGAATGTACTACAATATATTGTTGAATTACATTAGCTGCATATAAAACAACTAAATACATACAAGTTCAATTAAAAAGCTAATATAAGCATTAACCAACACTGAAATCTGAATAACAAAAACATTAAATTTAAGCATAAAGAAATGGATGTTTAATAACTTTTGCTCTGGCTATGGTAGCAAGATGGTAAATTTTCTCCATCAAATAAAAAAAAAAAGTGATGAAGACTTAGTACACTATGACTTGATCATATTCTGCACTCTAAATACCAAAACTGGTAATAATAATAATGTCATAATCAAAATATAAATTTATTAGCATATAGAAAATTGTAATGGTATAATAATGACTTGAGTTAGCAACCAACTCTCCCATATACCAGGATAACAACATAATAAACCTGAATTTTTAAGGGTTCAGAGATGTTTCCAATAGGAACTGGCAGCTGTGCCAATATTATCTGAATGACTTACAGGCTCAGTTTAGAACCCCTGAAACTTTGAGACAATCAAGAAGCCCAACATCATAAATTACGACAGATAATATTTCATTTCACCAAATAAAATTTTACCTTTACGTAACTGCAGCAAATGTAAATTTTTAATGTTTATAGCTTTCCAAAACCCCTCCAAACATTTTGTGAGATGCAAAACAATATTGGACTAAAAATTAATGGGCAAATGGGCAAAACATTTGATGGAATCTCCAAGCTTGGAGTTACTATATTCTTAATCTTGCATTTCTTCAGGAATTTCATGTGGATTTAGGATACCAGGTACACTCAACTGGACACGACGCTTTTCTTCTTGCGCAAGTCTGAGGGCTGCTTCTCTCTCCTCCAAATAAAGATCACTGTCATCATCACCTGTTACCTCCTGCAATGTTTTAGTTTTCTTTATTACATTAGAAAAGGGGCAAGAAATTTGGTTAATTATTTAACAACACAGATACCATACTCTGTATCCTTTCCCATCTATGCAATTGACTCCTAGAAGCATCATGAAAAACCTGAGTGAAAAAAATGTAAGTGCATTTTAAAAAAGTTAAAGCAGAAATAAAATGAGTTACACCAGTTACCTTAAAAATAAAGTTCATCGTCAAAATCTAACAGTAACCTGCCTTGGAATGCTTGCCCTTAACTCTAACTTCTGACTAACTAATATAAATTAGTGCATGGACCCCTGTATGAAGCTTCCCATATATTTTTGCACTCAACCCCTTCACCAGCCTTACACTGAAAATGTGATTAACAATGTCCCCATAGCACTACTGGGTATATTCTTCTAGAAATGCTTTGGGAGGACCTCTGCTCCTCCCCATCCAACCAAAGCTGTGTGGGTATGAGCAAGAGCTGTCTAGAACAGCCAGTAAGCCTCTTTTGCTTTTTATGTTCTTATGTGCAATGATTAGTGTATAAAATTCAATCCTTAAAAAAATAAGAAAAAAAATTACTCTTGAATAAATTAACTCCCTACATTTTTACCAAAAAAAATGGGCTTCAAACCCCTATGCTACAAATCAAGTATATACAGTATTCCAGGAATGAGAGCCATTAAGCAAAACATAAAGAAAAGTACGGGTAACTGCATGAAGCTCTTAAGATTTACTCTACTTGTTCAAAAGACAAAGGAAAGCCCTGCAATTCTGCCTGTGCAAAACATTAAGAAGGCTTCTGTTTCACACTCACATGACAGGATGTAGTACCTTCCTGGAGAGTTACTGCCAATCAACTTACTAGATACAGCTTCAAAAAAATGCTTGTTTGCTTGTTCTGTCATAGGCAGAATTCAAATTCATTTTTCAGCTTATTTCCTTAATTTTAGGGCATTAGTCTGAATGCACCCTTTTTGAACCTCAAAGAAATCTCACTTTGTGACTGACTAGTTTAGGGTTAAGGAAATGCACAATAAAATGAAAAAAGAGAGAAGGGGAGGAGGGGGAGGCTTATATAAAATGTATTTTTTGTTAATATTTCCCATAACAAATAATGTAAATCCAATTAATCCATTCCAGACACCCAAAAATATTAACAAGAAACACATTTTATAGAGAATAAACTATAGTTTTACACACAGAAAAGGGATGATGAAATTCGAGGGTCCACTGTATAATATTTAACATCTGTAGAATAAATGAAGTTTTCAGTTAAACATAATGCAATACTGAATGCTTTATTACCTAAATTATACAAACAAAACACAGCTTGGGCTATCATATTTGTACAGAATGTTGTTGAACTTACAATTTGATTTTTTCTATTTTCAGTTACATCTACCATCCAAATTTATTTGCAGTTACATCTATCAAATTATTTAATAGAAATGAAAAATACCTACACAAGTCTGAATTTAGCATTTTACTTATATATTTTTTATTTGTTTCCAACTTCTAAAAACTTCCTACAGCAAAAAGGCTCTTGGCCTCAATCCTAATAAATTAACAATGGTGCACTTAACCAGGATATTTCTGTACGCACACTGACATGCAGATACTCTGCACTTATCCATTAAGTCAATTAATTATAAATATAAAACAAATACAGGATGGCCACATTATTAACAGCAGGTCAGGTAAAGCAAAAATCGCTGTAAAGAGAAGAATAGCCCTTTTTTCACTTTCAAATGCATATAAAAGCCTGATAACATGTTTTCATTATCATACATTAAGTGAACAATGAGCTAGGTCTAAAAATTACATATACAGTACACACATTACTTACCTCAAAATATTTTTGAACTTAATTATAGCGAGTGGCAAATACATTTGTATTTTTTTTTAACATACCGGCCATCTCCCACTGAGGCAGGGTGACCCAAAAAGAAAGAAAAATACTTTCATCATCATTCAACACTTTCACCATCACTCATACATAATCACTGTCATTGCAGAGGTGCTCATTTACAACAGTTTAGAAGTCTGGCTAACCAGGTTCCCTGAATCCCTTCACAAAATATTACCCTGCTCACACTCCAACAGCTTGTCAGGTCCCAAAAACCATTCGTCTCCATTCATTCTTATCTAACACGCTCACGCATGCTTGCTGGAAGTTAAAGACCATCGCCCACAAAACCTCCTATACCCACTCCCTCCAACCTTTTTGAGGACGACCCCTACTCCGCCTTCCTTTCCCTACAGATTCATAAGCTCTCCAAATTATTATACTTTGTTCCCTTCTTTCTAAATGACCAAACCACCTCAACAACCCCTCTTCTGCCCTCTAATACTTTTAGTAACTCCACACCTCCTCCTAATTTCTACACTCTGAATTCTCTTCATAATATTTACACCACACATTGCCCTTAGACATGACATCTCCACGGCCTCCAGCTGCCTCCTTGCCACAGCATTTACGACCCATGCTTCACACCCATATAAGAGTGTTGGTACCACTATACAGTGGTCCCTCAATAATCGTTGGGCTCCATAGTCGTCCTTTTCGGAAATCGTCGCGTTATTTTCGTCCAAACATTGGCTCGCAAATGGTTGGTTGACTCGCTTATCGTCGTTCGTCCTGGATGCGTACTCATGGCTCTGAGCCACCTCGGCCTCCCTTCCCAGCCAGTGTGCCATTGTTTACCAGAGAGCGACGGTCCCCTCACTTGTTCATACAAAATATTTCATAACATTCCATTCATTTTAGTGCTTGCAAGTGCTAAATAAGCTACCATGGCTCCAAAGAAAGCTCCTAGTGCCAAGCCTTTGGCAAAGAAGGTGGAAAATATGATTGAATTTAAGAAAAACATCATTGAATATGAAAGTGGCATACGTGTGGCCGAACTGGGCAGGATGTATAACAAACCCCATACAACCATATCTTCCATCGTGGCAAAGAAAAAGGAAATCAAGGAAGCTGTTGTTGCTTGGAGAAAATTGTGGCCAGATTGTGTCCACAAGAGGGATTTTGAAGGGTTTGTGGCTGACCCTGATGAGCCTATGTCAGTTGTGAAATCTATTGTGGCATTGGGGAGTTCCATGGGGTTGGATGTGAGTTTGGAGGATGTGGAAGAGTTGGTGGAGGACCACAACGAAGAGCTAACCACTGAGGAGCTGCAAGAGCTTCAGCAGGAACAGCAACAGATTGCAGCTCAGAATCTTGCTGCAGAGGAGGAAGAGAGATGGAAGAAGGTGCCTTCTTCAGAAATTAAGAAGATTTTTGAAATGTGGAGAAACATCACCCTGAGAAGGATGTTGCAAGCCATATTGGCAGCTTGTACAGTGACAGAGTCTTGGCCCATTTTAGGGAAGTTTTAAAGAGACGCCAGAAACAGAGCTCTCTGGACACTTTTTTTGCGAGACAGGACTCCAGTGACTCTCAAGCTGGTCCTAGTGGCATTAAGACACAGAGAAGAGAAGTATGTAACCCCAGAAAAGGACTTGGTACCTGAGGTGTTGATGGAAGGGGATTCCCATCTTTCTTCATCTGAGATTGCAGACTCAAGGCACAAGCTATCCTCAACAAACCACCCATGGAACAGCCCCCTAAGCAGTTCGTTCATAGTACTTCCATGTGGTGAGGTTGCCACGAATACTCGCCGGGCACTTGCTATGAGTAACATCAACGTTTCCACCATAAACACATCATCTATCAAAGACCTCACTACGAAACGCAGCCCCACACCTCTAACTACTACAGCAGGCGTCTACACTATCCCCTGTGGGTTCTGTCCCAAGAAATATGTAGGCGAGACAGGCAGAGATCTTGCAGTCCGCCTGAATGAGCATCGAAATGCCTCTAACAGAGACGATATAAGGTACGCCTGTGTCCTCCACAGAGAATCCACGGGGCATTTGATGAACTGGAATGAGGCACAACTCGTTCTCACAGAACCAGACCTCAGATGCCGACGGTGCCTAGAAGCCTCACTAATCGCCATCACCGACACTATAGAACGCAACACTGGAAACTACAAAATTTCAAAAACATTGGCATACATGATACTTAAGCACCACCAACCCAACAACACAGGAGTCACATGATTTCATCATCTACCCGTCCTCATCACAACATGACATTACTCAGGTCATGTGCGTCACTCACATCTCACTCTCCACCTATACAGTGGACCCCCGGTTAACGATTTTAATCCGTGCAAGAGGGGTAATTGTTATGCGAAATAATCGTTATGTGAATGAATTTTCCCCATAAGAAATAATGGAAATAAAATTAATCCGTGCAAGACACCCAAAAGTATGAAAAAAATTTTTTTTTACCACATGAAATGTTAATTTTAATACACACAAACTGAAAAAGGTATGCACACTTACATGACACTTACTTTTATTGAAGATCTGGTGATGATTGATGGGATGGGAGGAGGGGAGAGTGTCGAACTTATTGTTTAGAAGGGGAATCCCCTTCCATTAGGACTTGAGGTAGCAAGTCCTTTTCCGGGGTTACTTCCCTTCTTCTTTTAATGCCACTAGGACCAGCTTGAGAGTCACTGGACCTCTGTCCCACAACAAATCTGTCCATAGAGCTTTGTACCTCCCGTTTTTTTACGATTTGTCTAAAATGGGCCACAACATTGTCATTGTAATAGTCACCAGCACGGCTTGCAATAGCTGTGTTAGGGTGATTTTCATCCATAAAGGTTTGCAGTTCAACCCACTTAGCACACATTTCCTTAATTTTTGAAGTAGGCACAATGGATTCCACAACTGGCATAGGCTTCTCAGGGTTAGCCCCAAACCCTTCAAAATCTTTCTTAATTTCCATACTAATTCTCACCCTTTTTACCACAGGGTTGGCACTAGAAGCTTTCTTGGGGCCCATGGTCACTTATTTTCCAGAAACAGCACCGAAAACACTGTAATAATACGAAATATTCCGAGTGTATGCTTGGATGTTACCGCGGAGGCTGGCTGGTAAACAATG